GGGTTTAGGGATTAGGGTTGGGTTTGAGGGTTTAGGGTTTAGGGTTTAGGACATTCTGTCCCTCCAGAAACCCTAGAAAACAAAATAGAGGTACAGAATCTGATCTGGACGCAAAGGGCAGGGATTAGGGATTATTTTAATCATGGAGGAACCTAGAGGGATTGCCGTATAGCTTGCGCAAGGGAATCAGGGAGTGGTTGGCAAGGATTTATAAAGGGCAATTGGCTCCGCGGTATATTGCGGTCCCCAATATCTAGGGAACATTGTAGCAGGTTACATAGGGGTTGCTACAGGAATTACGTAAGGGAATGGAAAACAACATGGAAGCCCTTATATGGGTAGTTCCCAAAATTAGGGTCCCAAATATTAGGTGCCGTGATATAACCCAGAACCAAAAGGGGCCCAAAATTTTGAGGACAACCCATCATCAGGGATCCATTCCCTCAGTCGCTACTCTAGGAGGTGCGCAGCGGTGGAAGGTTGGACCTGGTCTTACTGCTTCTTAGTAGGGAACAGGGGAATATAGCCCCTTCATAACCCCTATATATCTCGTAGCAGGGAATAAGGGAACATCAGCCCTTCATAAGGCCTCATTATGTAATAGATTCCCACATTCCCCTAAACCCCAAACCCAAAACCCTACTCACCCCCAGCAAGTTGTTGCAGGTCAGGACTATGGAAAGTTCAGCAATCGCTTTCCGCGTGCTGCAGCCTCAGCTGCTAGCGCTTTGATCATGTGTCGCTTGACACCAGCGATGTTTATGGTTTCGGGGTTCGGCTTCAGGCTTTAGGGTGTAGGGTTTACATCATTGGACCGCTCATTTCACGGTCGTACAACTCAAAGGGTGGCAATGTATGCAGCTTGCAGAGCCCATCATTAGCGTGCTGTACGCATCCTGCTGGTCAGTGAGATGGACTTTCTGAAAGTAGTAATAGTGGTGGTAATAATGAGAGTACCAATAGTAGTAGTAGTAGTAGTAGCAGTAGTAGTAGTAGTAGTAGTAATAGTAATAGTAATAGTAATAGTTATGGTCCTTATACAGAATCCCTAAGCTTGGTACATATCGCAGGATCCCAAAGGCCTTCCGTGTGAGAAAGTCCCAGATGGCCCGGATGCGTTGAGGTGAAGAAGCGCAAGATTGAGAAGCATTTTGACATTATCACAGAAGAAGGCGCATAGGGTTTGGGGTTTAGGGCTTCGAAGCTGGCTTAGGGCTTAGGATTTAGGGTTTAGGGTTTAGAGCTTAGGGCTTAGGGTTTAGGGATGCAAGTGTCAGAGCGGTCAAAGCAAAAATTCATACTCCCTGCAAGAGTCCCTGCGTACTCCCCTAGGAAATATCATGTTTTCCATTATCTTTTCCGTTCCCTGACAGAATCCCTATAGTAGTCAGTAGTCTCGATATAACCCCATCAACTTCTCTACAGCATCGCTTGCTTGAAGCAGTTGAGCCGTGAAGCGGTGGTCTGCCAAAACCAGGATGGAAGTGCAAGGCCCCCAATGGGGGAATAGGTTATAGAGACTATGATTTCGGGCTTTTATGGACTACCGTAGGATCCCCCCTCACAAAAATGCCACAGCCTCTATAATCAATACAGGTAAAGCTTGCGCGAAATTGTCATTGTGGAGGGGGTGTGGGGTGAGGGTGGGGGCGCATGCAGAGGAATGTAAAAGAATATGGCAACGTTTTTATTTGAACCCGATGCCCTAAGCCTAAATCTTAAACTCTAAACCTAAGACCTAAACCTCACACCTCCAACCCTAAACCCTGAGCCGTTGCTACGATGCTATGTGGCCCCTGTATCGGACAAACAATCCTTCTGTTTCGCAGTAGGAAACAGGAGTGGCAACAAAAAACCTCAGAACCCTAAACCTTAAGCCCTAGACTCCAAACCCTAAACTCCAAACCCTTAAATCCTAAACCCTAAGCCCTTATCCAAAACACTGGGAGGCGGCCGACAGCGCGTCGAGCTGCCCCCGGATCATCCTCAGCGAGTTGAACCGCCGGAGGCTTGCCATGACCACAGGTAGAATTGGGGGGCTTTGGGGTTTAGGGTTCAG